CTGAGGACGCCTCAGCCACAGAGCCCCAGTGGGACTGTGTGTCTGCTGGTGAAGGGTTTGCCAAGACCCTGATGTATTCTGCAACAGTTTTGCTGACCCCAAATACAAATTCCTTGACCTCTCAGCCAAAGCCATCATAACATGAGCTCTGAGTTCCTGACCATCTAAAGTGTCTGAGAGGTTTCCGTGGAGCCGTTCAGTGGCCCCTCTACCACCAGAGTGCAAGTGAGCTTCCTTGTCTTTAGCATCATGATATCCCAGAGCCTGGCAAGCAAAGGTTTCACACGCTGGTTGACAGAGTGCACGCAAGAAGTGGCACGTGTGCTGGGCAGGCCTGGCTGGCATCTCAGCCCAGCTGTGCCCCTAGTCAACGTGCCTGACTGCTCAGTCTCCCGCGCCGGGAAATGGACAGCTGTAACAGCAGGGCCCACCTTCTCACTCAGCTATGGGGATGAGGAGGGAACGGGTGGGCCACGCTCAGCCGTGACGGTTATTACACCCCTGAAGCCAGGGGTCCAAGGTGGAGGCGGCCCTCACTAGGAGCACCTGGGCCACATCCCTCCCCTGCCAGCTGCTGCCACCACTTGTCCAGGATGGGTAAGGGGGGAGGGGTTAGTCCCACCTCCAGCTCAGTCCACCCATGACAGAACGAGTCAGGAAAAGTCCTTTCCCTGACCTGAAATTGGGTTATTGGAAAAAAATCTGCAAGCTAGCCCAGTCTTCACAATCTTTACCTACTGGAAAGGCCAAGGCCTGAAAAGGCAGGCCGTGTCCCACTGCAGGGAGGGCACCGAGGTACACCAGCAGGACAGGCCGGCCAGAGCACCTTGCTCGTGTGGTTTAACAGCTAACGGATGTGAAAGGTAAGAAGCACGAAAGGTCACTGAGGACACGAGTGGCAGAACAAGGCTCTTAAGAAAAACAAGAGATTGCAAGCATGTGTCCAAGCGTGGCAGGACTCAGAAAGGCAGAAACCCGGGGGTGTTCCAGGCAAGAACAGCCCGTGCTCTGAGGGCTCCGTGGCCTGGAGCCTGGCAAGAAGATGACAATGACCGAGAAGTGCCAGGGCCACTGTCTGTAATACAGCCGCCTGCCGAGCAGGGACAGGCTCTGTCTTGCAGATTAAAAAAGGCAAAATAAAAATCTAAGGTGCAGGGAAACCAAGACGTAGCCTAAGGCTACCCGTCTGGGACACAGGGAAGCAGGATCATACCCGATGCCTGTTTGACCCCAAGTTCATTCTTCATGGTTCCCTGCTCCTCAAATTTGAGAACACGTGGACGCCTAAAGTATAGGCAGAGGCCAAGTGTGGAAAAGTGCGTTAAAAGGTCAAACTTCAGGCCTATGTGTGGGACCCAAACTTCCTACCACAGGTACAAAGCCACACTCGGAGACTGTAGGGCTGTCTTGGTTTATAACAAGATCACAGTCAACAAGGCTGTCATCATACTGAAGAGACAGGATTCCAAGAAGAGTCAAGGCAGCTCAGAGACACGTGAGGCTGTCTGTGGACAAAGCTGAGGCACTTCATCCCACCCCGGCTGCCACCTGTGCCAAGCTGCTCAGGCCGGCTGTCAGAGAGGGCGAGTGGGTGACGCGCGGGGAGAGGATCAGGGCCCAGAGCCAGGGCTCCCCAGCATGACTCTTTTCACCATGATCAATCCCGGAACAAGTAGACGTGCATAATCCTAGCTGATGCGGGTGTTCCGTGCAAAGAGGTGACAAGAAGTTCTCTAACGTGATTTTATGCTGATTGTCTGAAGAAAAAGCTAGAACATGCCAGGACATTAACAGAATGCAGGAGCTCTGTGCAGTGGAATAACGGGCACCCCAGTTTTTCCTTAGACTTTTCCTTCTGTGCAGAAAATTTGGAAAATTAGAAAACATGGTAAATTTACAATCAGAGAAAAAGCCTTTGATACAGGGGCTCCCAGTTTGGCGGGTTGGCCCTGCGCCCGAGCGCCCCCCCCCCCCCGGAGGCTCACAAGCAGCAGCACCTTAACACCCACAGGGCTTCCAACAGTAAGACTCAGACCATAGCCAGGACGCAGGGCCGCGTTCTCAGGAACCCCGACCCCAACGTGTTGTTCTGAGAACATAAAACAAATCCAGGAAAGTAGAACCTAGCTCCGTGCCTCACGGTGAAGTCATCCTGCGCCAAGGGAACATTGGAGGGGCCCGTGGACCTGTGTGTGGCCACCGCCCCTCTGCCAGTGGAAGCCTGTGCCCCGCTGTGCTGCTGAACAGGGGTCAGTGGAGCTTCCAGACTAAGACAGACTAGGGAGAAAGGCCTGCTGACCAACGTCGCCAACTCGGCCAGAGAACACCCTCTGGGTCCCAGCAGCGCAGTCCACAACCAACCATGGGCACAAGGCAGCGTGCCCTCCTGGTGTCACTGTGAGTCTGGGGCCCACTCCACCGTGGCTCACAAATGACACTGACGTCGGAGGCCAGGACTGTTGCTGTAGCACCTGCAGCGCACAGGACGACACCCGCGTGGAGACTCATCCCCAGGGCGCGGGGGCTCAGTGAGGAAAGACCTGCCCAGGCTCGGTGTGCTAGCAGCCGAATCTCATGGCAGGAGGATAAAAGTACAAGTGCTTGCTGGGAGCCCGACCAGGGTTGAGGATGTGAGGCGCGTCGCAGGCTCTACCACGTGACCTCAGCTGGGGCGACCAGTGACCTCACCAGGGGCCGGCACCCCCACGTCACTCCAACCCCGTCGGTGCTAGCTCCTGTTACTCCACAAAAGTACTTGCCTGAATTAAAGACACCCATGTCACACGGCACCTCCCAGAACCCCCCTCCTTGTCTCTGACATCCACACACACCCACCACACCTGCAGAGGACCGCCAACCACACAGCTCCTGTACCAAGGAGCCCTTGGTTGCAGTAAAGCTTCCCCATTAGCCACTAGGAATCACGCCTGTGAATTCTGGGAAAAAGCATCACCTGAGCAGAGGCACGAGCATCAAGGAGCGAGGAATGACCGTGAGGGACCTGACACCGCGGGAGGCGCAAGGCAACAGCAGCGCCCGACTGCAAACAAGCTGCTTTTAGGGTCATTCTTAACAGAGGCAACGTATTTCTAATTAGGTGGGTTCACTTGAAATGATACTGCCTGAGTACTGCCCCGACTCCATCATTAATAGCCTTGGAATGCAAATCACAGAGACAAAAGAGGAGCACCTGCAGGAGGAACCACTTCCGGAGGCCGCCACCTCCCATTTCCTTCCAGGTCAATCAAGGAGCAACAACAGGATCTCCAGAAACCCTCCCTGTCTGGTGTTTTTCGTATTCACCAGCTGGCAGAGTTTGGGTCTTTGCAGCTTCCTGTCTGTCAGTTCTAATGACAAGCCCTGGAGGTGGGCCGAGTAGAGAAGGGGTCAGCGGCTGGAAGCTCCCCCACCATGTCTCGCTTTGGAAGGGTGATGGGTAGGGGAGGAGGGGCTTCCAGCAGCATGGTATTAGCCTCCCTGAGTCACAGGGTCTTCAGCTGTCAAAGAAGGGCGATCCATCAACTTCATGGAGGTGATTATACAAACCAGCCATTTACTTCTTGAAGGGTCTGGCAAACAGGTGTTTGAAACATGTCAGCACCCTTCCCTCTCCCTCCCAAGTCAAGTCCGGTGCTGGACACCAAGTGCCGTGAAGCAGGGCACTGTTTGGCGCTAGTTAAGAAAGGAGGAACAGTGGCTGCCACTGATTTCTGCAAAGACGAGGTTGCCCGGGGCACTGTCTGACCTCAGCAGATAGCTGTAATAATCATCTTTTAATGGGTGCTAGACCCTGTTCTACAAATATGTAGTTACTCATTTCACCCTCAGGTGACACAGGTGCTATCAATACCGACATTTGACACGAGTGGACAATCACAGAGTGGTAAGTAAACCTCCCAGTAAGGGCTGAACACAGGAGGAAGGATTCAAACCCTGGCAGGCCATATTAGAGGCGGTCCTCCTCAATCTTAAACCAACTTGGGGTGAAGGGTGACTCACAGCAACCTGCTCATGCTGCACCCACCACCACCTGTCACCTCTGGGATGGAGCAGGGCACCCAGGTCCTCTGGGAAGAAAGAAAAGCTACTGGGCCCCCTAGGAAAGGAACTGAGTGCCAAGCGCCCAGCCTCAGCTATCTCAGGAATGTAATGACCTTGAGCTTTCCAAGCAGTCCCTCCCAGGTGCTTCCTTCTCTGCAGAGACCAGCAGATCCTCTATTCACCTTACAAGCAGCAAGGACCAGCCCCTGCTCCTAGAGCACGAATGTCATCCTAATGGAATGCGACTTGGTGAAGTGACCACCCGTAGTCACGCCACTGACAACCGAGTGGCACGGGCTGTATTTCAGGTTTGGTGACGCTTAATAAAAAGGGTTCCCCATTAGGTCGCAGGACTCCCCTTACAGGTTCCCTAAGAAGCGACTGGAAGCCAACTTAGTAACACCTTCTAATGTTAAGCTTCCGGTGGCAGCTGGACCCCCTCTGCCAGTCACGTCGGGGTGCTCTGGCTGGGCGCCCGCGACCCCGCACCACTGGAATCCACCTCCATCCCACCCCACCCCCCAAATTCACCAGACTGCCTACCGCACTGGATCCGCTTACGCTCTTTTTAACCTGGATGCAGAGCCACAATCGGGGTCCGGGGGGCGAAGCCGGGCGCGGGCGGACCTCTCCCCGCCCTGCCACGAAGCCACCGCAAGTCAGGCAGGGGCTCCGAGAGCCACACTGGTCACACCTGACAGGCCCCACAGCCGCTGGCCCCTGGCAACCCGACTCGGCGCGAGACAGCCCCTGCCGCCCCCGAGGGAGCCCGACTCTGCCCGGGGCGGACCCCGCAGCTCCTCGGAGAGCCCAGTCCGCCTCGGAAAGGCCGCGCCCCAGCCCCCGCCCGCCCGGCCCCCTCCTTTTTTCCCTCCCCGGGAGCCGTCTCCCTTGCGTCACGCGAACACTGGCGGCAGGCGCAGCCGGTTCTCCTCGGCCTCCCCTTCCCAGACACCCACCTTAAGGGTCGGGTACTCTTGGACCTTCAGGGTCATGGACAGCTGAGCAGCTGACTCCTGCACCGCCATCTTGAATTGGCCAAAACATTAGCGGGCGGAGGAGAAGCCGACGGGCGCGGGGTACGCCGGGTAATGACGTAAGCACCCTCCAGGCCGAGAGGGCGGAGCAGGGGCGGGGCAAAAAACGAGCGGACTCGTCTGCACCAATCACGATCGCCCACCCGGCCGGGCGGCGGAAGAACCCGCCCCTGGGCGTGAGCGTCGAGGGGCGCCCAGTCGGGCCAATCATCAGCGGTCTTCCTCTCTTCCAGCCAATCAGCTGAAAGCTCTGACTGTGCGGTTTCTTTCTTGAATTACCCGGGCTCCAAGGGATGTCCTCCTGGCCTCCGGGTCGCTCTGTCTAGCCCAGTGCTGGTTTTTCGTCGGCCGCACGGAGAGGCTAGCTGTCCCCACCACCCAGACCATCTCACCGCGGGGCGTGGGCCGGCTCCCGACCGTTCAGAGAGTGGAAGTGATGCTCCGGTCTCGTGTGACCAGCGCCTGGGCCGTGGGGGGGCGGCGATCGTACTGGCGTCTGTGGGCTGAGTGAGTTTGAGGGTTTAGCGGTTCCTGGCGCTAGCCGCAGGCGGGGAACCCCGGGGGAAAAAGAATGGAAGGGAGCCTTCCCAGAGCCATGGGACTGGGTGGTCCCAGAGCAACGGCAGTCCCTCGTGGCAATGGCGCCTCCAAAACATTATCAGGCCTTGCCTGCCTATCAACAGGTCACACTCCCATAGGGCGCCTTTCAACAAGTTCACAGTTGCTGGAGGCCTAAGGTGGAGCAACGGGTTTTCTAGTGGAAGAGGAAAAGGGAAGCCATGTTTCAAGTCTAAGAAGGGCTTGCACCACTTGTCTGTCAATTTGTCCTTCTGTGGTGGTTTGCATGTTTCTGTGAGGCTAGAGGCTATGGCACCAGTATTTCAAATACTCGTAGGGTCACCCATGCTGGACAGGTTTCAGTGGAGCTTCCAGGCTAAGACAGACTGGGAAGAAAGACCAGGCCATCCACTTCTGGAGGGAAAAAAAAAAAAAAAAAGAAGAAGAAGAAGAATTGGTGGATGTTCAACTATTCAGAAGGTGGCATGTGTTCAAGAACCAATGGTACTGAAGGAAGAAGTTGAAGCTGCACTGAAGGAATTGGCAAAAACAAGGCTCCAGGCATTGACAGAATACCCCTTGAGATATTTCAACAAATGGATACCTCACTGGAGGTACTTCCTCATTTATGCCAGGAAGTTTGGAAGACAGCTACCTGGACAGCTGACTGGAAGAGATCCATTTGTGTACCATTCCAAAGGTGATCCAACAGAACATGGAAATCATAGAATATTACTATCACATCCAAGTAAAATTTGGCCGAAGGTCACTCAAAAACGGTTGCAGCAGTATAGTGACAGGGAACCTCCAGAAATGCAGGCTGGATTCAGAAGAGGATGTGAAAAGAGGGGTATCATTGCTGTGTTAGATGGATCTTGGCTGAAAGTGAGGTAGGGACAGAAATAAAAAAATGAAAGCTGCTGGTCATATTCTTTTGTAAACTAGTTTAATTACTCCTACTGAGAGGAACCAGAAAACCAGAAAAAGTGTGATTATGAAAGTAGGTAATTGCAGACCGTTTGTTTTAGGTCCCAGGGGTCAAAACAGAAGACTCTGTGAAGGAGCCCCTCTTGATCTGTAGACAAGCAGATGCCTGGATCAGTCTGGAGGATGAGAACATCCACAGCTAGGAATCCCACCCATGCAACTTGCTAATTGTATAGGTTCCTCATGCTGTCCCCTATAATTGCCAACTGGGAAACGTTGGCAGTCCAGCTATTGTGGTATATACGTTTGGCTGCTGCCCCACTGTACAGGCTCATGCAGTGTTTCATGACAGGCTTGCTCTCTATTAACCACCTCTGTCTCTGCGAGCAGTTCTTTCTCACTGGACAACAACAACCCATTCGAGTTTCATGGGGTCCCCCTCCTGTAACAAAAGCAAAGAACACCAGAAAAATGTTTACTTGTCTTTTATTGACTATGCAAAAGCATTAGACTGTGTGGATCATTGTGGATAAATTATGAATAACATTGCAAAGAATGGGAATTCCAGAACACATAAGTGTGCTCATAAGGAACCTATACATAGACCAAGGGGTTGTCGTTCGAACAGGACGAGGGGGCATTGCATGGTTTAAAATCAGGAAGGGTGTGCATCAAGGTTGTATCCTTTCACCATACTTATTCAGTCTATGTGCTGAGCAAATAATCTGAGAAGCTGGACTATATGAAGAAGAACATGGCATCAGGATTAGAGGAAGACTCATTAACAACCTGCTATATGCAGATGACAACCTTGTTTACCGAAAGTGAACATGGCTTGACCCACTTACTGATGAAGATCAGAGACTACAGCCTTAAGTATGGATTACACCTCAACATAAAGAAAACAACAATCCTCACAACTGGGTCAATAAGCAACATCATGATAAATGGAGAAAAGATTGAAATTGTCAGGGAAGTCATTTTACTTGGATCCATAATCAACACCCATGGAAGCAGAAGTCAAGAAATCAGGTGATGTATTGCACTGGGCAAATCTGCTGCAAAAGACCTCTTTAAAGTGTTAAGATGCAAAGATAGCACTTTGAAGACTAAGTTGCGCCTGACCCAAGCCATGGTATTTCCAATAGTGTCATATGCATGTGAAAGCTGGACAATGAATAAGGAAGACCAAAGAAGAGTTGATGCCTTTGAATGATGGTGTTGGTGGAGAATACTGAAAATGCCATGAACTGCCAGAAGAATGAACAGATCTGTCCTGGAAGAAGTGCAGCCACAATGCTCGTTAGAGCAAGAATGGCCAGACTTCTCACTTACTTTGGTCATGTTGTCAGAAGAAACCAGTCCCTGGAGAAGGATGTCATGCTTGGTAAAGTTGAGGGTCAGCAACAAAGGGGAAGACCCTCAACAAGACTGACTGACACAGTGGCTGCAACCATGGGCTCAGGCACAGCAAGGACAAGAGGGGCTGGGTGGACGATGCTAGGTCTCCTGCACTGGTGTCCAGTTGGGAGGGTGTGACTTCCAGATCCTGAGTCAGCTATGTGGACTTGGGCCTGCAGACGAGGATGGGGACTCAGTCTCCCAGCCAACTCAAGTTTCAAGCTGAGCGAGAGGGCTGCCCTGCTGGAAGATCTTCCCAGACCCTGGTGGTCCCCTTTCTTTCCTCTCAACTCCATATATAAGTCACAAAATGTTGGGGTCCAGCTCTGTAGTGGCACAGCCAATAATCCACCCCCAGAGTTTAAGGAGAACCCCCCCCCCAAAAAAAAAACCCTCACTGCTGTTGAGTCAGATCCAACTCAGCAACCCCTCCTTGGTTTTCTGAGGTGGTATCTCTACGGAAGTAGATTGCCCAACCTTCCTTCTGAGAAGTGGCTGGTGGGTTTGAACCACCAGCCATCTGGTTAGCAGTCAAATGTCTTAGACACTACGCCACCAGAGCTTCTTTAAAGAGAAGAGAGTTTAATTAGGAGGTGCACTAACAAGAGAGAGATGGGTCTCAGTGACTCTAAAAATGCCTGCTCTGGGGGACATCAAGCTCAATTGGCATAACATACTATACAAAACATTGTTCCACCTACTACTTTGGTGAGTAACGACTGGGACCTTAAAAGCTAGGAAAGATGCCATCTAGATGCAACAACGGGTCTCTCCTTGTCAAGAAGAAAGAAGAAAACCAAAATTAATGGAAACAATCAGTCCTAGCGACTGGTACACCATCCGATCTGCAACCTATACAACTATGAGACCAGAAGAACTAGATGGTGCCCAGCTACCACTGCCATCCACTTGGAAGGGATGTAGGAGATCCTGCATAAAGAGGGAGAACAATGTGGTACAAAACTCAAAATCATTTGGAGGCAAAAAATAAAGAAGGTAGGGACCAGGTTTGCTGGTCCAATGGAGCCTGTTGTAACCACTGAGACTATGGCCCCTAGCTGCCCTTCAGGTCTGGAATTGAACCCACAACTGTGGTTTCCAGCCAAACAAAGTACAGGCATGTGAGTTAAACATTTACCTCAAGTAGACACACGCCCTGGAGAGAACAATCATGGGAGAAGGAAGGGCTGCTTATGCACAGAGATAGCTCAGGGTGCAGAAGAGTATGAAGGGATGGACACTGGGAGGAGGTAACTATGGGGAGGAAGTGGGAGGGGAGCTGCTGCATTGTAAATTTTGGTCAATGACATGAGACAAAGTATATGTGAACTGCTGTATGAAAAGTGAATTTACTCTGTAAATCTTCACCCAAATCCTAATAATAAAAAAAAAAAGTTAAAAAAAAAAAAAATGCCTGCTTTGCTCAGTGCTTGCAATCACAGGTTCTTTTACTAAAGGATGGGAGCTCTGGTGGCATAGTGCCTAAGGCATTTGACTGCTAACCAGAAGGTTGGCGGTTCAAACCCACCAGCCACTCTTTGGAAGGAAGGTTGGGCAATTTACTTCTATAGTGATACAGCCTCAGAAACCCAAGGAGGGGTCGCTATGAGTCAGATCTGACTTGATGGCAGTGAGTTGGTTTTTTGGTTTATAATAAAGGAAAAGACACAGTACGTGTGCAGGCTTGGTTAACAATTTTCCAAACATTAGATACGATGATGGGTAATTAACAAAGGAATGTTTCCTGGGAGTCCCCGACCGTCAGGTGATCCTCAGGAGGCTCCACTTGGAATCAAAGCCCAGGTGGGCTGGTGTCAAAACCCTGGTGTCAAAGCCCAGGTAGGCTGGTCCTGGAGTCCGGCCCGGTGACCCTTACTGACATAGATGGCCCTGTCTTAGACAACAGGATGCAGCAGGAACTGGTAACTTGGAGAGAGAGAGAGAGAGAGAGAGAGAGAACAAGTATATATGACACAAAATTGAAGGCAGGTTTTGAAGAAATGACATCTTAACCAAAAATATGGAGCTGTAGTCTGACAATATGGAATGAGACTTCACTCACCTGGTCTGATAGAATCTGGTGGGATCCCTGAAACTATGGCCCT